ACATAATAAACAATATAATTTAAGGGAAAATCAAAGAACCCAAATAAACAAATCCAGAAATCTCATTTCAAAATCTAAACGAAACAATGAATTCGGTGCTGCGAAGTTCTTTTATGGCAATGCAAAAGCAATGAAGGCACCCATTGGAAAACCCAAAATCTGGGTTCAAATAAACCCACACATCTGGATTTCGAAAACTCAAAAATCTGGGTTCAAAAATCCAGAAATCTGGATTTCCACAAACCTAGAACAAGGTTCGAACAAACCCAGATTTGGGTTCATTTGAACCCAATTCATCTAGGTACACGCAAACTAATATTCGGGTTCGTTCGAATCCGGCCAATTCATCTAGGTTCCATGCGAACCCATATCCGAGGGGGTTCATGAATCCAAATCTGTTAGGTTTAATGAAAGAGGATGCATAGGAGAGGGGAAGAAAGAAAGAAGGGGATGGACGATTGGAGAAGGTAGAAGGTACGGGTTGGAAGAACAGATTCGTAAGAACCCAAAATTCAAGGTTTCAAAACCTAAAAATCTGGGTTTGTACAAACCTGGATCTAGGAAGAATGAGGAAAGGAAGGGAGAAAAGGGAGAGAGTAAGAGAAAATGAAAGAGATCAGAAAAGGTAGCAGGGAGAAAGTGCTGGAGAAAAGAGAGAGAGAGGGAGGAAGAGTTGAATGATGGCGTTGAGGAACATGAAAAGGGATGAAGAAGGATCGAGGGAAGAAGACAAAGTTGATAGGGATATAAATGTAATTTTAAAATATTTTTAATATTAAATAATTGTAATGAGTTTAAGAATCCGACTTGACATTTTTTTATTGCACGTAAATTGATTGTCTTATGTGTTATTACCGTATCATAAAAAAAATGCCTTTTGATCGCATTTTTTATCGCACGAAGGATTAAAAATGTGTAATTTTTCAAGTTAATGGATAAAAACAGTACTTAAAATGATTGAATAATTTGTTTAATTTGTGTCTTTTTAAAAATATATTAAATATATTTTTTATTATGAATTTATATTAAAAAATAAAATTTAATTTTTAATTTATTAATTATCTAATTAAATTTATTTAATACAAAATTAATATTAATTTTTATATTTTTTATACGTATTTATTTTAAAAAATACTCTTAGAAAAAGGAGAAAATAAAACTTACCGAGGTCAGAAGCAGCCAGTCGAACAAACAGATTCTGACCACCGGAAGGGTGCTCTCTGATGTCCAGAAGTTCACTGACCCAGATGACACACCCCGTGCCACCGTTTCTGATATCGGCGTTAGCATAAGCAGTGCAAGAACAATTCCTCAGGCACAGATCTCCGCAGTCCTTAAGACTCGTACTCTGGTCCACAAACGCCGTGGTGGTTTCTGGCAGCTTCACATTTCTCAGGTGCAAGAATTTGTCTCCCATGCACTCCAAATTCGTCTTCCTCATACACCCATCTGACCCATCTCTCAAATTCCACGCCTCCAAGTTCTTCGGCTCGAACCCTCTTGGGCACTTGCAAACAGGGGATGCATTCACGTCGCAGATACCGTACGGACCGCACTCTCTGTAATTGTCGCACTGATCCTTCGGTGAGTACCAGAATGGGTTCCATTGTTTGTAGTCCGGAATCCAGGTTAATCTCTGAAGAACTCCGTTGGGATTCACGATCAGCCTGGAAAACAGATTATTGGTCGTGACAGAGAATGAGTAAGTCACCTCGTCTTGATTGGTGACAAATTCGAACTTGAGATAATCCGGAGTTTTCCCCTCCGGAGTGCCGCTGAACCTCACGCCGTTCCAGGGCCCGCTTCTGTATTCTATCTTTTTATTGTCCCAAAGGAAAATTTCCGGGAATCCACGGTAATCAAGCTTGACCGAGAAATCCCCCGAAGATGGATCTGCTGGGCTTCTCCATGACGTTAAGTACCTGTCAAAAAAGATCAACAAGAGCTTACCTGAGTTGGCAGAACCTTAATTCTAGATTTCTGTCAAAAATTCAAACTTCATACCTGTCAAAATCT